TCAATTTCTTAAGAATATTAGGGAAAGTTTGAATTCTGCTATCTGCATCCTAGCTCATGCTTGCCGATGCAGCTCTGTCTTTCATCCAAGTTACTGCATTTCTCTTTCTCTGCATACAAAAACTTATTCTTCTCATAATTAATATTAACAATAATTTTTATAGTATTAATATTTACATCAAATATGAAATATTAAATAGCTTTAAATATTAACAATCTGGACAGTATTCATGATAAGAAGAAGATGTTTCTGTTTTTTTTAATCTCTTAACCTTTAAATGTTTTTAGCTGTAGTATATGCCCCAGTTTGAATATTAAATTCAGTAGTACCTCAGTGTAATGTTTTAAACCTCTTTCTTCTAGGTTCCTCCAGAATTTGACTTCTCCCCTCACAAATATTTTCCAGTTGTGAAGCTTGTTTGAAAGACAAGATTATTGTTAGGGTATGTGAACCATAATCTGTACATCAGATACCAACTGTGGGATGGACTAACTAGTACTATACCCAGACTAAAAGCGATCTCTGTGATAAAAGTACTGTTATATGGAATATCTCTAGTCTGCCTTCTTTACATGACCTGAATGACAACTGCTGTTTTAAAGTGGTCTGTATAATGGTCTATGGGTGAAGCTGATTTTAATCAACTGCATTGTTGAAGAACGTTGTACCTTATTTGATTTTATTACAGATTTAATCATTTTTTATGAATGAAGTCTGACTGAAAATGGTGTTTTAAGGATTTAGCTCCTACTGCACTGAATTCAGTAATTTTGTTTTACTGAAATCAATTGTCTTGAATGGAGATATATCCTTAAGGACAGCAAGAAATGGAGAATCAGTTATTTCTGGTTGTAGCTTGTTCCTTTGTCTTAATTCTGCATGGTACTGGACAATCCGTACAGCTAACACTAGAATAGGCCTCAGCAACACTAGGAGTGTATTTTAACTACTCTTCAACTTTATTTCAATCCTGGTGTACCTTTGCCATTAGCACTTTCTCCTTTGCAGTTTGTTGCACTGCTTAGTAAGCTGTTGCATGACCATCATTCTCTTGATTTGGCTGCAGTATTGCAGCTGGGATCCCACCACCTGTTTTTCTGCAATTGTAGAAGTACCAAATAGGGGGAGCCTAATCCTACTCTTTCCTTCAATGAAGATGGTTCTTCCTCCTGTCCTTCCAGATCTGAAATAACATAGGGTAAGCTCTTGTGTTGAGCAATTTGCTACCACAAGAGGACAAAATAATGTTAAAAACCTGACATGCTCCTTGATGAACCATACTGCCATACTGCCTAGTCTTGTCTGGGACCTTAAACCAAGGCCTCCAGGTCTGACTCTGTAGAAAGGGACAACTCTTCATTTAAGTGCAGAATGTCTTCCTCCATAGTGATAAGCTTGTAACTCCCTCTTAACCATGCAGGACACTTGTTCATTTTTCTCTTAACATATATTTGCAGCATGGAGTAATACCACTTTAACTCCATCACCTAAGCAGCAGCACTGCTAAAGCAGGAAAGCAATGAAGAAACCCTGAAGTGGAACACCTCACTTTGCCAACAACTTGCAGCTTCTTGGAATAAGCAGTAGCACTGCCCGCAAGATGTGCTTTTTCTTATTTCTCTGCTAGGAGGTTGCATACCATTTTACATGTTTGCTTATCAATCATCTTGATTCATACCCTTGAATGCACTTATCACTGCCATAGGAATAAAAATGCTGGAAAATATAGCTGAAAAGATGAACAGGCAGTAGTGCAGGTCACTGAGAATTCATCTACCTTACCATCTTCTCATGAGCTATCATAAAAATTTTTCCTCTCTTCAAAATCTTGAACTACATGCCAGTGGCTCAAGGACAGCCTTCTGTATTTCTCCAAAGCAAACAGCAAGTAATAGAAAAACTGAATTTCACATCATACCGCATTTAGAGAACTAATATAACCAAAGTGCATGTCTTTCCCATTTTGATTAACATTGAATGTGGATCAACTGTACAAAACTAGGTAATACACAGTAGAGAAGATGATTTTTTTAAATGCTTATCTAAAATGGATTAGGCTTTGTTTTTAAAAGTGTTAATTTAATCCTGAGATGATTACAGTCAAGAAGCTTTCCCTCTCTCATGCAAGTAAAAACTTTTAGCGATAGACAATGTTATGTAAACCACAATTCCAAGTGAATCTCCTGTTTTGTTAAACTAAAAGTCCTTTAATTTTAAAACTCTATATAGTAGAGAAAGAAGCCCCTTGTCTACTAAAATTCCACCGCCATAGTTACATTTCTGTAGCACTTGAAGCCACTGGAAACAAGATTGTATTCCTTTATGCTTTTGAACATTGCTTTTTACACAGGCTTTCAGACACCTAGTGTCAAGAGGTAAAACAACTGTGCGTTGTACAAGGAGGTCTTGGTTATGGAGAGGACACCACCTAACTGGCTAGAAAGGATCCCAGTAAGGTTTGGATACTGTACAGAAATATAGCCAACAAAATTTGTTTTAGAAGAATGCTATGGTAATGTATTTATTACCTTAAGGATTTTTTTTTTTTCCCAGGATTTTACCAGTTTAAAGTTAAGGCCCATTCATTCAACTTGAATACAGCATTTCACTGTACACTTAATTCTGTTAGAATGTATATTCTTTAACAATCACTATTAAATTTCAGATTTATTTTACCTCAGCTAATAGTTTATAGATTAAGTCCTAAGTTAATGCCCATTTTACTCTGAATGTGTAAACATGTTGATGTTAAGATGTACCTTGATTTGCAGATAAATAATTTAAAACAAAAAATCCAGCAAAACAGAAAAATCTCAACTTTATCAGCATTTGTCTTTTTTTAGAAGAGCTACTCATCTCCCTTCCTTAAAAACATTTGTTTTTCCCTGCTATATTGCCTGTAGTAGCCCAGCACAGTTAACTCTGGCTTAAAAACTCAAAACCACAGTAACCAAGATGAACTCAGTAATGGAGGTCAATGCTTTTCTTAGAACAATTAACATTAAACTTGGCAATCTGTCAGCGGTGAACTGTCTGTGAATTTAGGCATAATAGGTAACGTTTAACTTGAGCCCCATTTTTTACTCTATTACAACTACTGCTCTTTTCATATACAAGAGAACCAATCCTCTACTTGCACACTTAGCCAGTATAAGGTACAGGAGTTGTAAGATAGTACAGTAGAAGAATGACACACTGTGGTGCATAAATCATCATAAAATAAAGTGCATTAAAAGAAAGCCATGACAAATTTGTTTTCTTAAATGAAATTGTTGATTGGGAAGTTAGTTGCATCTTCTCGCATGCTATCTTGTGTAGGTTGGTTCATACTCACAAAGATGGTTCTAAACACAAGTGTCTGTCTTAAGAACAGACACAAATACAATATTTAAAAGTTGGCTACACAAAATGCAGTTAAGACTTGCTTTCTTTTTGCACTGTAACCTGCCAGACTATGGTATGTGTACTGCTGTCAGCAGCACCAAGTATCAGGAGCCAACTCCCCATAGTCTCTGTACTGAGGGTTTACAGGTGAACGCTGACAAAAACTAAGAGCAACTGAGAAACAGTGGGGATAAACTTGATCCCACAGAAACTGTCTCTTAAAAGGATTTAACTTATGAACAGGCCACAGTGCTTTGAAAATCCCTATTTGTAGCAGATGCCTGACAGAAGGCAAGCAGTTGGGGTTCCTAAGAGTGTCTTAGTGGTAGTAGAGGGTATTTCTAGTTTATCCCAGGTAAACTAGTTTCTAGTTTACATTCAACAAGTTGCAGAAAAGACAAAGAGTATAGACAATTAGCAACATGATATATTGTGCATAACACAGCACTTACTTAACAATAGCTACAGCTTCCCCTGTGGGAGATACTGAAATGTTTGTTAAATGCATAGTCTGGTTTACCTTCTTCAAGAGGCCAGCAATTTACTTACTTCGAACAGCTGAGTTGGCCAAGCATTTGCCTTTCTACTTTTTAGCAGAAGATACTGGCTGGGTGGAGTAAAAGGTAGATGCAGCACACCATTTCAGAAGGCATCTATCATCAAAGGTTCAGGAGTCAATTTGACAGAATGTTTACACTCTGAAGTTGTGCAAGTTAGTGATAACTGATCCATACTGTACTACTTACTTTGTGAAGAGGAGTCCAACACTGCTTTCAAAAAACAAAACAAAAAACCACTTTCCTGTAGAACTAGGCTAATCTCTTAGTGAAAAAGATACTGTTATCAGGATTTTTTTTTAATACCTAAAAGCTAAGAAATCAACCTCATAATCTCAATCTCATAAACTAATAGATTTAGTCTATGAGACCCAAGAAACGTATCTATCTACAGTACAGTATAAAAGGTTCCAGAACGGGCATGGGTAGACTGCAGCATGGGACAGTTTTATTTCTTTCTTCCCATGTTTTGTCAAGGTAAGTAAGTTAGCCTAAGCTCCTCTTAAAGCTAGGTTAGGGATCTCTCTACTGCATTGGTCAGGGGAGAG